ACAGTTACCACTGTGTAACAGCAAATACCTTAGAATTAAAGCATTTTAAGAACTGCATGACAGCAGTCATTATTGCCTGTGAAGCTAGGAGTGTACATATTTTTGTTTATGTTGAATAAATAAGTAACAAGTGGATGAAGGGACTGTATAAAAAAAACCATCAAAAACATTATCATCAATAGTCACGGGACACTGAAATCTTTCCAAATGACTGAATTTGATACTTTATTTACTATGTGGGCTTTTCCATTTGAGTAGGCTACAACATTTCTTTCAGTTTTATTCATTGTTATGTGAGGAACCAACCATGATTTATTATAACATCTACTTAACGAGAGTGTCTGTGATGTAGTAGCTCATCTGGATCATTATCCGTTTGTGTAATGCTGAAGTACAGAAACAAAGTGATAAGTTCTGTTGGCTCTGCTTGGCTTTATTGTAAAAATGAATGACTATTAAAATCCACTGAGAACTGAAAAAGAGTCCCAAACCAGTAGTGATTGTTGTGAACCAACATGTTCTCATCCCAAAGCATAACATTTTATGCTATGTGACAAATTGTCAGTATGTTACGCTTTTGGTCACATATGACCCAGTTTGAGTGAGGAACCATTACATAATAATCATGTGCGTATTTCACTAAAATGTGACCAACACTCAAGGAGTAAAAATATTTGAAGTTTAGACATATGATCGATGTCTCACCATGAGTCATCAGTCATTCTTTTAACATATGACTGACTTTACTAAACATCCAACTGTGCTATGGTAGTTTGGATAGGACTACTGGGAATGAAATTTGAGAAATTATATATGAACAAAACCTCACAAACTTTGTTAACCATATAAAAACACTCTATACCGCTCTTTTTTTTTCATGGCTCAGCACAGGTCACTTGAGACAAACAAAAAGAACCAATGAAATGAATGTTTCAGCTGAAACTGTTATTCAAGCTACTTTACCTGCTCCATGTAAAATTTGCACTTGGATTGGCTTCTGTCACACACTCAAATGAGTCCTCAGATTTTGCTCTGATGTTCACTTCTGTGGGAGAGACTGCAAGAGCAGAAAGACAGCTGTGTTAATCCTGAACTGAGGACACAGTAATAACATGAAAATAATGTTTCGCCAATGTTTCCTACATCTTGAATCCAAACTCGACAAACTTTTGGGACTGAGGCTGATGTTGTGTGGTTCAGGCCATGATTCAGTCTTTAGCAATAACAATGGTCTTTTTTTTAATCAGTCTAGATGTTTTTGTCTTTCAGAAAGAATTTTCCCATCTATTGTGACAACATGCTACAATGTGACAAACAGGAGGCAAAGTCATGAGATTTGGGATGTTTCACTCCCATTCATTTAAAAAAAACAAAAAAGCACACACTCGAGAATAAAGAGGAAAAACAAAACAAAGTATCTGAATTGGACTTGATCCTCTTTCCAGTAACAAACATTTAGGTCCACTTTCTTAGTTTTAGTCATTTCCTTGAGGGTTTTGTCAAACACCAAAGTAAAACTGCCTCTGTTTTATTTAATTATGTAAGGAGTCGAACCAAAGTTTGGTACATGGAATGTTTTGTCTTTACTACACATAAAGCTTTTAGAATTTTTCAGAATTCAGCAACAGATTATATCTATCAGTCCCTTAGTAGTGTCGTAGGTATTCTGTCTGTTATAAATAAACTGTACAACTGTTTCACTAACAGAGTCCTGCGCTTGAGTCTGTTCATGCATTGCGACTGATGCATCCACTGGCTAATTTTCAGAGATTTCCAAGAAAAAATATAACAAATGCATCAACCATGGATAAAAAAAATAAAAAAATAAACTACATCAGCAACTGATACTCACAGTAGACCTGTATAGTGAAGGGCAGACTTTCAACTATAGACAGGGAGTCACCACTGATGACACACTGGACCTGGTGACCGTTAATCTCTCTCGTAGGAACACCAAACAGAGAGCTGACAGTGGTAGTCGTGCTGTTGTCATACTGTGTGGAGTTTGTTGTCGTCCTCACTTTGTCTCCCAAAGCACCAGTGAGCCACCTCACCTCTGCAGGAGGCTTCGATCCAGCAGCCGTGCAGGTAGCAAATAAAACCTCTTCTGTGCCCAAAGTGGGAAGATTGTCCATCACACTTGTGAAAGGAGGCACTAGGAGAGTTACAGCACTAATTTAAATGAACATGCAAGACAGATGGTGACAATAATTGTTTCTCACATACAAACACAAGAGTATTTTAAAATAAAGATAAAAAAAAGTTTAGTATACCAAGCAAGTTTAGAGGTATTTCTGTCTTCTGATTTCCACTTGGAAACAACGTGAAGATGCACGTGTAGCTGCCTTCATCCTTCAGGGCAACATTGGATAACTGGAGAGTTCCATTATTGTTGTTAAAATTCCCGATATATTTAAATCGATCATCACGTTCACTGACAAACTGTGGTCCATCTCTGAGTAAGATAGTTAGAAAATTGTCATTGTGAGGTTTTTCTCTCGTCCTCCTCTGCCAGGTAATCTGTGTCAGGTCATCATTGGTACCAGTGACATGGCACGGTAAAATAGCGGTACCTCCTTGAACCACTGTCACTTCCACCAATCACCTGGAGAGCTGTAAAGAGACAATCAAAATTTATGTCTGAATGTATGTGTGTTTGTGTGTGTGTGTGTGTGTGTGTGTGTGTTGTGTGTGTGTGTGTTGGGGGGGGGGGGGGGGGGGGGGGGGGGGGGGGGGGGGGGGGGGGGGGGGGGGCGGGGGGGGGGGGGGGGGGGTTAAGGGTGGTGTCTGAGAGGCAGGTGTTGTGCAAAATAAGGATAATCATGGATAATACCTCTCACCCACTCCATGACATACTGGCTAGTCACAGGAGCACGTTCAGTGAGAGACTGACATTACCAAAAAGCACCTCTGAATGACACAGGAAATCATTCCTGCCTGTGGCCATCTCCCGTACAACTCCTCCATCTAATACACTGTAAACACTGCAATAGTTACACGCATTTTACACACGCTCTTTTCCACTCTGTAAATTTTCTTTATATTTATTTATAATCACTTCTGTTAATCCTTGACATTTATAATTGAGTGATCTGCATATATTAGTGCTATTTCTTAATTGTGTAAAATCTGTAATATAATGGATTGTTTGGAGTTTAGTCTGTTACTGTTGCTATTTTTACAATTTCTTCTCGGAGCATCTGTAACCCACATAATTTCCTTAGGGATTAATAAAGTATCCTGATTATGATTATGATTGTTTCAGGATACATGACCTACCTTTATCCAATGACACATCTGCTTACTGTATTGTTTCTCTTCCTCTTCTTTTCTCTTTTTTCTAAACTGAGCACCTGATGGCTTTGAACTTTTCTTGTCCATCTTCCATTGGTTTTAATTTTGCACTCCAGTATGAACACCCATCCCCCAACCCAAGGATCACCACAACATAACTACAACTTAGTTCACAGATTCGCTTTGTCTAGGGTTTATTTCTGGGATTTCACACAACCCAGGATTCAAATCATGAATACATGATGGTCTTGGATTTACAACATTATGAATGAAATGTGCTCTATTTGGAAGCAGCCAGCCCCCTCCCCTTTCGACAGGTTGTGTGTGAGACTTTAAATCATCAAACTGTAAATTATAAATTTTAAATTGTTATTGATCCCTTTACCCCGAGTCCTAAAGTGTATATTTATTTTCTTACTCTTCTTATATTTATTGTTTGTTTACTTGCACTGCTGTAACTGGAGCCTCGTCGTCTCGTCTCTCTATATACTGGACTGTATGTAGCGGAGATGACAATAAAGTTTACTTTGACTTCAGCAGCGAGCAGGCGCACCGAGGGCTCTCGCGCTCACTTTTCGCGTATAGAATTTCGAAAAAACATCGGTGCAAATTATAAGTCTGTATCATAATGTCTGGTGTTTTCGTGTTTGTTGGTTTGTTTTTATTTTGTTTTATTTTGCGAGTTGGTTATTAGATGCTGCTCCCCAGCCAGAGAATCCCCGCCCTCTCTTCCCTGTGTCGCAAGCAGCGGAGGGCGCCCGTACTCCCAGCAAATGGCCGTAAGAACACCGATCAGTGTCTATGCCATCCTCAAAATGCGCTGGCATGATGTCGGGGCAGAGTACGAGCAACTTTTTTGCCGATGCCGTGATGCCGCCCTGGGCAACTGCCCGTCTCGCCCATATCAAAAACAGTTACTGATGAGGTGTACTTAGGAGTGGGTTATAAAAACAAAACACGACTCTCAATCCTACACTTTTACATTTTTTAAAAACATTTTTAAAACATAATAATTTACAATTGATGTTTAGCGTAGAAACTCGAAGTGATCACCTACAGTGAAGAAATTAAATACCAAAACGAAGGTGATCGCGGGCAGCTCACTAAAAAAACGGGTTTTCTTCTTATTTAAAATAAGAGATGTAAGACATTTTCTATTCTACCTTCGACCAAAGCAACAGCAATAAAGGATAATCTACGTACCTTCAGCGTCTGTACTCATCAGAAGCACTATCATCAGAAGCATATGTGTCATGGAGTCACATCGTGAAGGGAAACGGTGGCAGTAATTGGCACAAAAGAAGGCAGCTTCATCCATCCGCAAATCTTAAAGTTATAAGAAAGACTTTTTTCCAAAGTCTGGAAAAAAAAACGTTGTTAGGTCTGTAAACGAAATACATATTCGTGTAAACCCCTGAAAATGACCAGTGAGGTCAGTGGACAAAGGTACAAAGCATTGCTCCAATATGTAAACCATGCAAGTAATGGAAAACAAAGGCCTCAAATATTACATTTAAACCAGCCGTCATGCAATTTACCTGGACTTTGGTATAACTGCAATTGAGAGCAACAGCATTGACGTGGTATATGAAGTGAAAAGTGCAGCATGTGACTCACAGAATCATGTGCTTGTTATTTTTGACCATTACAAGATATGAAGTTGTTGTTTCGTTGTAAGCTTTGTGTTTGTTTTAAATGGTCTTTATTAATCAATTTAACAGAACCACTTTCAACTCCATGCTCTGATCAGACCCTAATAAAACTACAGAATGGTGTCTGTTTAAAAGTGGATTGTACTCCAAAGATTATCCCCAGTCGAAAGAGAATTTTACATCCAGAGACTGAACTGCAGAAGATGTGACTTATTTTATACACAGGGTGATGGTAAATGAAGGTTAGATGTGGTGCGATTTCTGTGAAATTAAACAACATTTTTTTTAAAAATGGAAGGAATAAAGGTGAATAGAACTGGCTTCAACCATTCTACTTGCTGTGTAAGAATAAATTATCAACAATTCTCAAATGTACCAAAAGGTGGCACTCCAACAAAAGCAGTGAAATAATATTGGGTATTTTTAAACACAATAGGCCAAATCCTTGTTCATCAGAATCAGAAATAGAAATTTGGAAAGGGAGGGGGGATGAGTGTGTATCAGTGTATGTGTATGCGTGTGTGTGTGTCCTGAGTTAGAGTATCCTTCGCCCAGCCAGGCTAAGTAAACAGTCTTCCAGCCGACCCAGGTGGACTTGGACTTATAACAGGAAGGAACAGTCTAAACACCGTCTGTTATCAGGGTGAGCCTTGAGACCACAGCTGGCGCAATATGGTAGCAATGAAATGATGGTAGTATTCCTTTAGTGCGAACAACTGCATGTGAATTTCACAGCCGATCTAGCAGTCCGTCACTGGTCTCTCAATCTCCCGTTGGAGAGATTGTTCTTGGTGACCCACACAAGAAATACAGGTAGTGCTGTTCACTTAGTTCATCTGATCTGAATGTCCTGCTGCGCCAAACGCATTTGCTTTGCCAAGAGAAACTCTTTGTAAGTTCCACTTGTTGAAGGGACTTCCGTTACTGATCTAACCTATCTTTAAATGTAACAGCCAATTGTAAATGAATATTCATACATGCCTCTAAAAGGAAAAGTAGAGTTCTGATGAGCATTTTTAACAGCAGATTTATTTATTTTGTTAGATGAAGCATTATTTCATGACAGCGTTGTTGTTGTTTTTGTTACTCACTAATGACAGGGTAAAATTGCAATTTTGTAGCATGCACTGTGTCACATTTAGTCTTTAGGTGTGAGCAAAATAAAAAATAAAACAAAACAATTGTCTACAAAAGTTTTTATAGACACTATACTGATTAAGTATGCAACATGGTCACAACTGTGAAGTGGGTAAAGGGTGTTAATCTATGCCACCACAGTTTTAAGTGCATGTTATTTTATTTTCATTTATAACATGAAGAACAACCCTTTATTTACTTCATTTATTACAATTTGTTGTTACATTGAAACACTGTATGCAACCTAAGTTCATGTTTCATTCCACATAAGATTTACAATACACAAAGCAGCACTGCTCTTCATTCAGCTTTTAGTGATGTGCCATGTCTTTGCAGGTACAGAGCACACTTGTGTTTGTGAATCATCTTTTTATCCAGATTAAATAGATACCTTGTTTTTAATTTATTTTTTCCATTTAAACTTTAGAGAAGCCTGAAGAAGACCACAGGTCTATCTTGGTGTTCAGAGGAGGCTCAGTGACGTTGACTTGCAACATATCCAACATAAATGCAACACAAATCTCCTGGAGCAACGGCAGATCTGCTTTCCAATATTCCGTTGTGCTGAATCACACCTCTTCAAATTTTTCATTTTACAAACTAAAAATAAATCACGAGTTACCCAGTGAGATAATTATTTTTAGTGCTCAACCTGAGGATGAAGGACTTTATACATGTATCATAAGTGGCCTAGATGGACTACACAGCATTACATAGAATTTGAGTGTGTGAGAACCTCAAACTTGGGTAGAATAAAAAAAACAGTTATAATGACTTCCAGTAAACAATAGGCAATTAAAATTAATTGGCTGCTTGTTTATGCAGAATCCATTTCATCAAAGTATTTTTTATATATACTCCCATCTGCAATTGGATTCCTTCTATGTGGGATCATTTTTCTTCCTCTGCAGGGGAGTAAAACCTTTTAACACTTAACTTTCTAATAAACGCATCAGTGTGCTTTTTTTTCTATCCTGCTGTTGAACTTTTGTCAGTATTTTTATCAGTGATCATTTTCTATTGTGTCTGCCTGCATATAAAGTGTTGCTTTACTCTAAACTACAATTATTTTATGTACATAAGGAAATATATGTCTAGGTTTTGAAACATCTGAAAATTGCATCAGATAAAAAAGAATAGTTAAATGCAACTTAGTTTGAGGAGCTCATACCATGCTGCTCACTGACCTGGATATTGGATACTGAAAAAAATTGTGTCTATGATGTCTTTAATACACGATTTAAAAAAATAAAATTCAAATTGCAAGATAATGTTAACAAATAAAATGTGTGGGTTTTTTTTCAGGTAACAAAATAAAATAAATCATACAATTTGTTCACTACTTCTGTCAGTACTGCAAACTAATGCTAACCTACAAGGGCTGAACCAGCCCTTTGTGCTTTTGATGAGGTATGTTTCTTCATGCAGTAGAGTGTGTAAACAGGCAGTAAATATTGCAGTAAATATTTATAGAGTACAAATGTAACTGCATAGATTTTAGGAAGTGAAAGATCAGAAATAAAAGATGAACAGAAATTATGAAAGAAATGGATGATTTCAGACATCATCCTTTTAAATACTCATCTAATAACCAACCCGCAATACTCATCCTGATTTACAGCTAACAATAAAAAAAAACAAAAACTAAACTCTGAGAACAAAAAAAGAACCTAAGATATTAATGTATATTTTAAACTCCCCAAATTCCTTTTAGATTGAGGATTGAGTTGCGAGATAAAGCTTGGTTGTCCTGGTCATAGATGTTT